GTGCAACCTAAAATAACAAGCTCACTAAAGTCAAATCAGAGTTAATATGCTATCGTTGCGGTAAAAAAGGGCATTATCTTGAAATTGCATATCAGAAAAGAAAATCAAAGAATCAAATATATGATTACCCAATCAAGATAATAGTCATCCTAAAAATGTCATTTATGTTGATACTGAATATGAGTTGGAAGAAAATGAAGAAATGGTATATGTTACTCATAATTCTAGGACCCAACCATATATAAAGGATCGAAGAAAGGCCAAGCAAAAACAGGCAGAATCACATAAAGAACAAGGATATTGGAAAATAGTGCCTAAACCACAACCATAAACAAATATTCCAATGGACGTAGAAGGAAGTCAAATACAACAGCAACCAACTCCTGTTGTACAAACCAAGAAAATAATTCAACAATGGTTACTATCGATAGTAGACAAACTAGAGCCATATGATATTTCTGAAGATTTATTGAACACTCAGGTTAATGCTACAGTGGGACAAATACTTTAATATCTGAATCAAAGGAAAAATTTAGCAAAAGTATTAAGAAGGAAAAAACCTTCGGCCACCAAAACAAATAGGATCGAAACAGATGGGATACAAAAAATGGTGGCTATGAGATGCCATATAAAAATCAATGGCAACCCAGTAGTAGCCATTTTAGATTCGGGAGCTGCAGCAAGCATTATTACTGACAAACTAATGGAAAAACTAGGATTGGAATCTACTAAAGAATCAAAAACTGTAGTAGTAACAGTGAACGGAGGTAGGTCTAAAGCTAAAGGAATAGTCAAAAATGTACGAATCACTTTACAGAATATTGTTATACTGATAGACCTACAAGTGATAGAATCAAAAGATGAAACTTTATTATTAGGGACCTATTAGTTTAATAAATCAAGTGCCATCTTGGATTTTGGTAAACATATCTTACATATTCAATATCACGAAAAACAAGCAACTATTAACACTATGTATACTAGCGTTATACCACCAATGCCTATCGAAGAAAATTAAGATGAATTTGATGAAGATCCATGAATAGATGAATTGGAGAAAGAAGAATTGGAAACCTTTTTCTTAGATGAATTAAGCACCGAATCAGAAGATGATTTGTATTATAATCCTTGGGAAGAAGAATCTAGTCCAGCAATATGTCTTGCTGAGTCTATGGAGGGTTTAAATCAAGATAATCAGGAAATAGATTATAACGTTGGGCAAGAAGTTACTTCTAAACAATGAGAAGATGCACAAGAATTATTAGTAAGAAATCACAACGTCTTTGCAACAGATATATCAGAAAGTGGTCAAACAATGGGTTTAGGTTGTATTAACATAGTACAACACTATATTAAAACTGGAGATGCTGAACCAATAAAGCAAAAACCATATTGTATTCCATCAGATGAACAAGAATTTCTACAAGTAATCAGAAAAATGGAGAAGTTAGGAGTCATTCGTTCAGTGGAAGGACATGGGGATCACCTGTGGTTATTGTTTCTAAAAAGAATGGAAAAAAGAGAATTTGTGTCGATTATCGAAAATTAAACACAATAACCGAAAAAGATATTTACTCCTTACCTAATATCAATGATGTTCTTGATAGTTTTGGTAGAGCATGATGGTTTTCAAGCCTAGATCTGGCTAGCGGTTATTAGCAAGTTGCTATAGAAGAAGACAAGAAAAAAACTGCTCTTATTACTAAATTCGGCACTTATAATTTTAATATAATGCCATTTGGATTATGCAACGCCCCAGCTATATTTCAACGATTGATAGATAATGTGTTACGAGAATTAATTAATAAATTCGTTGTCGTTTATTTAGATGATATTACAGTATATTCACATATCTTCAAAGAGCATCTCCAACATCTACAGAAAGTTTTTGAAAAACTACGAAAAGCTAAGTTGAAGTTAAATTTGGAAAAATGTTTCTTCTTTTTACCAAATATAA